AGACTGTGTCGACAAGCTTCTTCCTGGCCCCACCAAGGCGATGCGATGTTCGGAGAGTGGCGGTAAAAGCCCGCGCATCCAGCCATTCCGTGACGTCTGGATCGTGCCGGGTGACTGAGGGACGAGCATCGGAAGAAGTAGTTGTCTCCGGGCTGGGCCGCGGATTTCCTCGCCGCTGCACCGGCAGCCGTTCATGTGGCACAAACTGTTTCTTCATCAGCTGGCAGGGGTCACAGCCGCACATGACGCGGGCAAAGTGGCCGGCCACTGTGACGAAGTCCAGCAACTGCTCGTTCTCAAACTCGTCCTGCAGCAGGAGAGAGAGAGGCCTGCCAGAGAACCAGGCTGCTTTGGCGCCCAATGACTTTCGGAGCTTGTCGCTGGTGAGAACAAGGACCCGCAGCCTCTGCTTGACGAAGTCTTTGACTATCGTGTGCCTCACGCATAGGATGCGCTCCCACAAAAACACGGTGCGACTCTGCAGCGCGTGCAAGCTGTCTGCGCCGATTCCGCCCATCCTGTCAATCGCTGCGTCCAGCTGCGCGATCAGGTCTCGGTGGTGTGCCTCGGCCTGTTGCATGTCCTCATCGCTTGCTGCTTGCCAGAACATGCTCGCATCTTCTGGCTTTGTCCTCATCTCCAGATCGAGGCCGGATTCCAAAATGAAGACTCTGTCCTTGGGGAGGAACTTGGTGAGGTTGCGCAGGAGGTCGGTGCGATGCGCCGGCGCCAAACAAGTACGACTTGCCGGCGCCTGCGCAAGCTCGAATTGTCATCAGATGCTGGGAACACTGCAGCAGTTGGCGCAAGACACTGCCCTGCTCCTCTGTGAGCTGAGCCTCCACCATGGCCATGTCCGGTTGCCACTCATCCCATAAGCTCCTTTGCGTGCTGCTGCAGGGCACTCCCATGAGCTCTCCGAGAGGCCGCGACAGTGGCCCGTGACTCAGCTGCTTCAGGCTCATGAACTGGAACTGCGCTTTGTGCAGGGCTGTCAGGAATGCCACGTAGACCTGCGTGCCGGGCTTCAACGCGTCTGGGATTAGGATCTCTGAGTTCTCGTCATACTCCTCCTCCAAGGAAACGCGAAGCACTCTGAGATCCTGCGAGGCCGAAGACATCGTGAATGTCTGACCCAGGTGCCACAGCCGATCACGGTTGGACGCGATCACATCTTCCAGTGGCAAGCCTCCGCGATGAAGCGTGTGCAGTTCTTGCCAGAGATCACTGAAGCTAGGGTCCTGGACCTCTACCAGCCACATGACGCAGTGCTTCGGCAGGGCATTGTGTTGGGAGTGAAGATCGCGGAAGTCGCCGTAAAGGTTGACTGTCCTGGACTTGGACATGTATCCACCTGCCATGGCAACGGTGTGCACCAGGATGGGGTTAGAGGACAAGGCGTGCATGATGTTGTTGGCAATCATGCTGCGCAAGGCCGCTAGCAAAAGCCATGGGAACTCGTCAGGCCCGCCGCCGGAGAGCAGCTCAGCGGAGTTGCGAAGCTGTGGAAGCAGCAGCGGTGCAAATCTGCAGCCACGTCATGTACTTGCTTCGAATGGTGCTGTTCACTTCCACGAACTTGCGAAACTCTTCCACGCTCCAGACCTGGTCCACACACATGCCCCGGATGCGATCCACAGCCTTGACCTGCCACGCCTGCACACGTCTTCGTTCGTGAAGAGTCTGCTGCACCTTTCTGCTGTCCCCCTTCTGCAGCTGAAGAGCTCTCTGATACTGCTGCAAATTGTCTTCGAAGGAGGCCCGCGCCGCGCGGACTGGAAATCAGCTGCGAGCTAGCCGTGGTGAGGTTCGCAAGGGTCACAAAGGAGGCAAGATCCAGAGTCTCTGCGCTTTCCCACACTTTGTATGCAGAAAAAGCTACTGCCGAGCACTCGCAAGTGCGATTGCAGAGCTGGGGTTCACGCATGGCAACGTAAGACAAACGATGCCACGCAGCGGATGCCGGAAGCTCCCAAACAGAGCACTTCACCCGGCCCAGCTCCAGCACTGCGATGGGTCCGTGAAGCTCCTGCGGAACTTCATCTGGAAACCCAGAGCGGCTCCCCCAGGGGTGCGCGAAGAGGAAGCCGTACAACGGCATGCGTACGGAAGAGAAAAAAAGATGTGCCCGGGCTGTGCCGCGGGGTTACTTGAGCACTTAACAGCACTCGCACACACAGACTTCCTGACACTTCTGCAAGCTTGTGCAACTCAACCACCCTATGACTGCACTCGCACACACAGACTTCCTGACACTTCTGCAAGCTTGTGCAACTCAACCACCCTATGACTCTTGCATGTGACCCGATGTCGAAAACAAAGCAAGATGTAGCCGGGCTGGGCCGCGGCTCTACTGGAAGGCGTCACGCAGCTTTTTGTTAAAGTTGAACTGATGGTGTAAATACCTGAAGACCTGTGTGTGACAGCGCGGCACTGTTGTTTCCAGGTGGCAAGCTGTAGCTCTACTGTATGTAGGCTCAAGGCCTTGATCATACAGATGTGCAAGGGCATGTACAAGTGAGGATGTATATTAACACTTTTCTTGCAGTATATATATATATATATGCATATATACTCTCTGTGTCTGCGTTTGTGTGTTTGCATATATCCGCGTGTCTCTGTGTGTGCGGGGCGTGCGCGCGCGCGCCCTTTTGTGCTGCTCTGTGTCTCCGAGTGTGCCTGTGCGTCTGTGCCTCTCTCTGTGTCTGCCTCTGAATGTTTCTGTCTGTGTCTCGGCCTGTCATCGTGTCTGCGTCTGCAACAGTGTCTAGTTTTCCGCTTTCCTGACTCTTGTCGTTGTTGGTACAATTTCTCTGCTGGTGTCACTGTGGCTGGGCTGGTTTGGGCAACTGTTGGCTGCCTTGAGTTTGATGTTGAAAGCTTGTGGCTTTCAAGCTCTTGTTTTGGTGCCACAATGTCTTCTAGTATGCCTGGGCTGTTCCACCAAGGTGCATTCTGGACCCAGCTCCCAAGGTTCAAACGTTTCTCACCCCCCTCTCGTGCTGAACTGCTAAGTGCAAAATGGTCCTGGGTAAGGACAGATAATCTTATTTGATGCCTTGAGGGCAAGACTGCTCAGTCTAGTTGGCAAAGCATTTTCTCTACTGCGCACGAGTCGCAGGCTCGATCTGCCTTCTTCTGGCCGCAAAAGCTTTTGGAGTGGAGACTTGAATCTTGCAGTTTCCCTCAATTTGGATTCCTTGAGAAAGGTGCAACCTTCTGCAAGCTTGTGTGGTGAAAAAGAAATGGGATTATTATTAGGGGGGCGCTCACCACTTGTAGCAAAAACATAACCTTGCTCAACTTCCTGCTTGGCAACATTATCCAGCAAAGGTCATTGCCAAAAGCCCCCCTAATAATAATCCTCCTTCTTTTCACCCTGCTGGTGTGTCTGGGCTGGTTTGAACCACTGTTGGCTGCCTTGGGTTGGATGTTGAAAGCTTTGCAGTTTTCCGCTTTCCTGACTCTTGTCGTTGTTGGTACAATATCTCTGCTGGTGCCACTGTGGCTGGGCTGGTTTGGGCAACTGTTGGCTGCCTTGGGTTTGATGTTGAAAGCTTGTGGCTTTCAAGCTCTTGTTGGCATTAGGGGGGTGCTCACCACTTTTGGCAAAAACAACCTTGCTCAACTTCCTGCTTTGCAAGACCAACATTATCCAGCAAAGGTTATTGCCAAAAGTGGCAAGCACCCCCCTAATAATAATCCTCCTTCTTTTCACCATGCTGGTGTGTCTGGGCTGGTTTGATTAACTGTTGGCTGCCTTGGGTTGGATGTTGAAAGCTTTGTGGCTCCCTAGCTGT